TAGAAATGTGTGCGTAATTTATGTGAGGTTTTGACATTTTGTGGAGATCCTGAAAACAGTTGCCTACTGCAGATTGCTAAACGTGCGATTAATTATTGTGTCATTTAATGTAGGAATTATGATTATTTAAAAAGTCACAGTGTCACTAATGGGTAGGGCTGATGCAAGGCGGTGATCTTGTCTGCGTTTTTGAAGAAATGATATGGACTAGTCTGGCCCCGGGAATTAGCTCAGCCTAATAACAGGTTAATCACATGGGAGCGCTAATGCACGCAGACTTGGAGCGCGGCCACGGTGAGCATGGTCAATTAGCAGCACGCCGGCGGCCAGACACTATCGAGTAGAGATCAACACAAGAGATCCGTATTATTTTGTGTGGTCTTAATAATCGCAATGACGCTCGCGACTTTCTCAAAGATCAGGTTTTTCTTGTACGTAGAAATACACGAATATGGCAACATCTGCTGTTGGTGAGTAGCCGAAGACAGTTGATCGAATTCTCTTCTATTTCATACCATTTTTCTCTTTCTTTTATGTTTACATTTCTTTCTTGAGGGGGGGGGATAAACATTTGTAGAGAAAATATGAATATAGCAATTTACAAAAAGGGAAGTGAACGTCTTTTCATGGTATCAAAAACAGCCTCTCAAAGTAAAATTCTGTAACTGGTGGTTATTATGATGCGCAATACCTAGAGCTATCACTCGTCGCGTAACGAGGCTCTAGCATTGGAAAGAGGCGTAAAGGGAATGCTGCAAGCCAAGCGCTCACACTCCATAGCAAACTGCCCCACTGGGACCCGCTATCCCACCTCGTAAATTCCTCTTCGCGTCGTTATACTCTCGGATTTCTTGGTCGTGGGGACCAAAATAAAGAAGCAAAACAAAACAACATAAACCACGGCTGCACTACACAACCACGTATTAGCGTGAGGACCACTATATGGAATGGTAAGAAATATGACAATGGAACATTACATCTCATGTGCGTTTTAAATTGTTCTATACTTTTCCAATTTGTCTTAACACATCTATGCTTACATTATCTAAAATCGTTGAACAGCATGAGATGCCGCACAGAGACGTACACCCATGCACAGATCTAAATAATAATAATGATAATAATAATGTGTGTATATGAAGTTAAAGTGGTTTGATATTTTATTAATGGCAAGACAGTATATCCTCGCTAATCAGTATTTTAGCCGGGGGCTATATGGCAAAGGGTCAACCAGGCCTAATGCCACTAATACTGTAGCAGGTCTAAGTACAATGAAATATTCACAAAGCAGCTTATCAAACAACAATAAGGTCGACCATCTTCAATGAATTTTACAGTTGGTTCCCATGTCAACCGCAATAAGCCGGAGCAGAGAAATAAATGACCTTGTCCTCACAGACAATACAGAAATTCACATATCTGTCATTGCTTCGAAAAGGTGACGTACCAATGTTAGGAGAATTAATGCAAGTACATGTAGTTTGCGCCATGCAACATGCACTGCATGGAGCACGGCTCCGCGCCAGAATCCAACGGCTCTTTATATGGGTCGCCAGGGTCGGTTGAAATAAACGCAAGGCACAGCCCACCGACCACCATTTTTTACAAATCTAGATGCGGATTTATTAACGTTGCCTGTACCCACTGAAGTGGTTAATTGACATATGTATACCAAAGCTTTTAATTGGAATTGACCAGCTAAAGCAACGCGTAAAGTGCCGTTTGAATACAATAATGGGCGGCACATTAAATTAAAAGCGTCGGCATACGGCGCTTCACTAGACTGGTGTCTCAATAATGCACTTTTTATATGAGTTTTTATTATTTAGTAAATGGATTCATTGACTTATGGTTGCAATTCTTAAACTCCTGAGTGTGAAATTCGTTTGTTCTGTTGCAGGCCAGTCGAGGGCATATGATGTTGGCCACTCTAAGATACAGGGAAATAACCACTGGCATTAAGTCTTATAACCTGGTAAACCTGTACCTTTTATCGGATAAACAGCTACACTAAATTCAAAATAGCATATAACAAACATTTCAATCGGAAAAAATCTTAATTTTCACTCTTTTAAAATCGTATACAGCCTATAATATACACTGACGGAATATGCATTTACGCACAGTCGGTACGGAGTCGATGTTTTTCTTTCGCGGGGCGATTTTGGGGGACGCATCGCGGCGGCTTCAAACGCCGCATCTTCGGTGAAGAGCCTAGGGATGTGAACGTCGTCTAAACTTAGCCTAATCGATTCACACAGTGAAATCATCCCCTGATCTACTCTAAAGGCATTCTACAAACACGTGCCGAGACGCGTCATCAGCGTGGTTTTCATCGTTAACGAAGACCTGATTAACATTGTTCTGCCTGGCTCTCAATAATTGATTGATCTTTAAAGAAAACAGTCTGGTTCCAACCTGTGTGCGAATACATCGTTCTAGTACACGGTAAATCATGAACAGCACCAACAGATTTATAGGAAATGATGATCATCATCTTTTAAATTGCAGCTTTCGTTTTCCCCATATGACAATGACGGCATTTTTATTAACATCTTCTTTAAACGACAATAGGAAGAAATCACTTAATGGCTGTTTAAGTATATTCCGAGTTCTAAAATACGTTGGTTTTTTTTTTTCTGATGTCTGACTAATAATTTCACCACAATGAATCTCTGGCATCACCACGGGGCGCATGCACTTCCTTCACTTAAAATGTATAACATATCATATATAATAATATGCGAAATTAATTTTTTGCATCTCCAACAATCCCTCATCAAAATTGTTGTCATCGATGATAACACCACACGCAATAAAACAATATGACTTTTATATATTGCTTTTATTCACGATTAGCCCCACCTGAATGTCACTGACTCCAAAAGCAAGATTACCTTGCGCACATTTTAACAAAAGGAGTAATTCAGTCCGCTTTGGTGCAATGAGTTTCCAAAGTTTTATCGATTATTAAGAGGCGAACCTTGTGCAGCACAGTTTTTTCTGCTCGTTAATTTTCCAGTACGGCAAACATTGTCTATCCCTCCAAAGGGAATTATTTCTGGATCCGTCCCCGCACAAGGCCATCTTTCAAAATGAAGTGTGTGCCGAGCCAACGCCAGTGTCAATTTCAAGCGCGAAGACAACACATGGCAAATCAAACTCGCTCAATTATTCAGAAGGATTTTCCCTCCGTTTTTCCCCCGTCTTTCTCCCCATGTGATAATGTCATTATCGTCTGCCCCAGTTCTATTCGTTCTGGGCATCCAATTATTTTTTCCCCTCTCTCCCTCTCGTAGATTTTTTACGGCAATTGTTATTCCATTGATATTTATGTTTGATTTTTTTTTACTTGGGAGGGGGGGTGTCTCCTTGACACGATAGTCGGCGTGTTCGCCTCTCAGTGTTTCGGCCGTATATCGAGTTATTACGGTGGGTATATAATTGTGTCATTTGTTGACTCAGTGAGTGGGCATATACATGGCAATCAATTGCTTTCTGCGGAGCGATTGGTTTGGTGTATGAAAGTGATATCTTCTACTTCATATCGGTGAGATGGGGGGCGCGCTCAGGGCAGGCCATGCAGACTGATATACATGTCGTACACTTAGTGGAACATGACTTCTGTCGACAAAACCTATATCCTACGTTAGAAGTTTATATGCACTGTTGTCTCCATGATAAAGAGCAAAACTAGAATACATTTAGAAAGCTCCATGCACTCCGTAGTCGGAATTGTTGGAAGTGTAAAAAGGACACAGCATAATACAATCACAAGAGGTTGCTAGAGCTTTTCAATCGTTTGAAGACGTTTCAATCGCTGTTTAGATAAACTCATCATTAAGTAATCTACTATCAGTTTTCGATAGGCAGAGTGGAACGAACATCCGAAAATCTCAGGACTAACGCCAAAAATGACGTGATTCATTAATATTCATAGAAGAATGGAAGAATAGAAGAATACAGTTACGATCAAGGAAATGTCTGGAGGGGGAAAAGAGAAGATTTGACGCTTGCAAACACACTCAGCGGTGAATAAAAGGAGAAGGCAATAAGTACAGGAAAACAGTAGTTACAGTGAAGTGGAAAACATCGATTGTTTAAAAAGAAAAAGACAACTATATAGAACGTAGTCAAACATTTACAAACTGTCAAAAAGAAAACGATACATAAGCTACGTGGACAGAGAAATATACAATGACCAAAATGGTAAAAAAAAAAAAAAACAGAGGACTGATTTGCTATTTGCTAAATTATGCAACGCACTGTTTTGCACTGTACGTCTACAATCCGTCTGATATGGTTTCCATATTACGAGCAATGAGGGTGACTTAATACGGCCGGAGTGATCTCATTTTGGCTAGACTCGTGTAATACGAGTCAACATGGCTCCCATCAGAAAGACGTCAGCAAGACGTGTATCTGAAACAATTTCACCCAATCGCTATTTGTTTTCGGGCAGCGATACAAAAGCAAAATTTAAAAACAAAATGGTTGAGTACATTATGAGACATAGTTGGCAATGAGAAATATCGTTGGCAATACACGTTGACTAAAAGAACATCAAATCAGTAATTACTTTAAACAGTTTCGGAGCAGGATAACTTGCTGCAACAACCCAACATGTAAAAAAGTCTCAAGACTGGTTTTGTGGGTGTGGTTTGCTCTCTCTCTGATGTGCTCGGGGTAATTATTTATTTGTCATATAGTCTACAACACACATGAGGTATAGGCCTATGCATGTACATGTATATTCGCGATCCACGGAACGGGGACGAGTTTTGAAACTTTTTCAAACAACAGCAACAACATCAAAATGACACAAGCCTTTCTTATTTAGTTACGGTTAAAGAAGCAAGCATGGTGTACATGCAGACTTTGCAGAGATGATAGGAGTGACCGTCATGACATCTTAGACGGGATGATAGGAAGGTAGGTTCACAGACAAAGGGACAGTATTCCAATACCTACAGACCTTCAACTTGTGCTGCATGTCTTACCTTATTGGCGTTCTGCTCAGCCATCTGCTTCATGAGTACGCTTCTCTTTTTGTCCTTACATCGCTTGTTCTGGAACCACACCCGGATGACCCGTGGGCTAAGTGACGTCATCTCTACCAACTGTTCCTTCATGAGTGCGTCAGGTCGCGGATTGGCCGCGTAGCAAGTCCGTAAGGTGTGCAGTTGTTTCTCGTTGAGCACGGTTCGCACGCGGGTAGGCTTCTCTTGCTTTTGTGAATGGGAGCGCACGGTCCGGTTTGGCATCGGTTCCGAGTGGCTCTGTCGCCCCGTTGGAGATGGTATAAGAAGGTCATCGTCTGCAACAAGACGGAAGAACATCAATCCAGACGTTGGATTTATAAGACCCATTTAATTGCAGAATAATCTAATTTGAATTAATTTCATATCGTCAAGAGGACAAATAAGGTTAAAAAGGTTTTAACATAATATAAGGCGCTTCGCGGTAGGCCAAGTTTGCACGTGAACTCATGGACCTCTGCGTGTTTTTAATAGTGGACTGAAATAAAGAAACATCATGGAGTGGCTTGATCTTTACGAACTTACCCTCACTCTTACACAATACCTAAAACCTAACGTCTAAACAACAGAGGTCGCTTTAATGTCACAACTCACAAGTCACATGAAATCTACATGGTATTGCTTGCCTCAATAATTGATCATCACAGAAACGATCTCGCCATCCACTGACATGAACTATCCGTTAATCCGAAGCCAGGCGCATTCAATATTAAATTCGAATTGATTTTCGTCTTAATACAATGGGCGGTAGGACATGAAGTATCACCTTTGGCGACTATTTGATTTGCCTGAGTGACGTCTATATGTTTTGTTTCATCACTGCGACATCTCTTCCCTTGTACAAAGAGGAAGTCTTTTTTTCCCTCCCTTATCCCCCACCTTCTCAGTCCGTAGGGACTTGTTCTACCATGCGTTCGACGAAGCCAATCAGGGGGAAAATGTTGGCTCAGTCGCGGCGACGCGAGCAGGCCAGCGATGCGTGACGGCCACCGAGGAGAGGACTCTTGGGATAAAGGCGAGATGATCACCCATCAGACTCCTCCCGATGCACAATGAATTATGAATCTGACTACATCGGCCTTAGGGTTTCAAGATTGTTCAATATTTCAAAGGAAATTGGAAGCGGGAACACAAACAAGCGTCTCCTGTGAATTTTTGATGAAACACACGGAGAGGACAGAGTTAATCGCGGTGTGTGAACAGATGACGAGGTACTAGGTATCTCTAATAAGCTGTTTGAATTATGTCTGACTCAATTCTTACGGCGAGTTGTGCCATAATTATCGGAGAGGGTCTTACGTCAAGTGTCTTTTGCCGTGGCGACAGGCATTTTCTATAATATCTTCCTTTTCACAACCAGTGACTGTCTGTTGGACAAAAAATGGCAGAGATAAAACATGTGATTTGTAGGTTTCAAATGGAGATCAACATCATTACAAAATGATAAGCTCCACATAAATACAAAGGTGGAATCATGACCTTCAAAATCGGGGTTAACTTAAAGGGCATTTAATATTAACAAGACCCATTTGTCTCAATTTTAAGGACATTCATATTCAATTTCAGATGCACAAGACTGATCAAAGCCTTCATGTTTTGAGCACGAGGTTATTCCATGTCGTGACACACGAACCCAGACACGCCGGCGAGTCCATGCGCGTCAAGAACCAATTGAGAACGGCCTGATTGGGAATAAAGTCCACCGCCCCACTGCTCATGATCACCAATTAGGCCCTCAGTGTCAGTTAATTGAAGGATGATACTACAATAACAACCTTTCGATGATGAGGTATCTCGCGAACCCTGATCGGGGAATAATGATGAGAGGGAATATCCCGATCGGGGTCGGGCGCAAGCCTCTTCTCGGGGGCATTATGATGAGAATAGAGGTGATCATTCAGGACGGTGAACGGTTCATGATCTACATAATCTTAGCAGAATAATACAGGTCGAAAAGAATGCAGTGCACTTTACATTAACAATATAATCATCGTTTCATAAGCAAATCTTACATGTCAGGAACAGTTTTGAATGTTTGGAACAGTTAAAGGCATAGCATATTTGGTTGTTCTCTTCTCATTATATACGTTCTCTGTATCGATCATCCCAGGTATGACAATGACGCGATAGATGGTTGATGCCACACAACGCAATCCACGACTATTCCTCGTTCACCACGCGGCATCTCCACTGCGCTGTCTACACCATATACACGATGAGAGCCGTGGGAAAAACAACCTGCCAAACTGGACAAGCAATAGAAGAGGCTGGTGTCTAGACCACTCGTCGTGATTAAAGGGACGCCTAGACCTACGTCCCGAGCCAGACTGAGCAAGTAAACATGTGAGAGGGAGTCCTCAGAGCATCACAATCTGGGTTGGGCCAAGTCTCCCACAAGTACATGTTTCTCTCCATCGCTGGTGTAGTCTGCTCGTGGAGTCATGAAGTGGTTCCATGTCTATACACTCAAGAGCCATGTAAACTTTTCCTCTGACCATTCGATACAAAAAGTACAAGAATTCTATTGGCATTATCATTCGGCCGGGAAGGTATGTAGGCTTATAAGCCTAGTCTACTACCTACGCGACAGTCGTGCTGCACAAGAGGACAGCACAACAGATGATAAACGCACAAATAGCGCGCTGAGGTCGCAACCAGATCCATCATGCACGCGCAACCTTTGTTTTGCTCTGTCCTTTGTTATTACCCCCCCCCCCTTGTTTTCTCTCGAAAGGAAAGGGGAGATCGCAGATGGTGTCCTGATTTGCCACCCGGTCCTTTCAAAGTTAACTGATACAAGTTTACATTAGGTTAAACACAACAACAGAAAATCGTCCTTGTTCTTATCACATTCTGGAGAAAAAAGATTAATGGCGCTATGGTACTGGTCCTATAGACATCACCGGTGTTAAATTTACATCGCAGCTTTGGCTGAATAGCCTCAGATTATAAAGATCACAAAATATCGTTTCACTTCAACTAATAACACACCGACATTATGGACAGAACATAAGACATAGTCCGAATTGATTAACGTCGGCATGTTAATGCCACTGAGCGATGCGCAGACAAGGCACTGTGATATGTCTCTCCATGTATTTTTGTTCAAATTAGCACAAGTGCATGACTGGAAATTCAGACACACATATATATGATATGTGAGTTATCATCAAGCGGTATCGGTATAATATGATTAAAGCGACATCGTTGAATTATAATTGGCCGTCTATGTCTCTTGGGACTCGGGCTGACTAGGGGCTTCATTATACCGTATGATTATACATCCCATCCCCCCATATGTTGGCCCTACCGACGTGATTGGGTTCTACCGTCCTACCGAGGGAAGGCCAAGCCCGCGAACACACACACAAATCTCATCTTAACAACAACACTGGGGACGACTAAATTAGTCTTGGGATATTGTGTGTGCTAGAGTTTGGGGAGAGGGAGGTTGCGAGCGTGCGGTATGGTACTGATTACGCGACATATTGGCCATGGCGCCCCGGTACACGGTTGGCAATCTCACCGCCAGCTCCAACTTCTATTGAGTGGGTCACGCTACAGGCTACACAGGCCTCAGGTGGCTACGAAAGGGCAGCCGTTCCATCGATAAAAACGCAGCAGAAGAAAAGAAGAGAGGAAACCTCTCGTATGCGGAATTGGAAATTGTAGATGACCGTACCCGTGTATGTTTGATGTTGGAATAATAGTGATATTTTTGATTGGTCTGATTATTGGTGCGGACAAAGGGCTTGATAACGAAGCGAGATGCAAGCGTGGAGCGAGCAAGGGCCACGGCACGCATGCGGCTGGCCTGCGGCTTGATCACATGAACAATCACTACTGCATACATCTGTATAGGACTAACAGATACACACCAATGGGTAATGTACTCCTGAGAAATCCAACTGACTGATTGATAACAATCACAGTTGAACAGATGCTCTAAGAAAACAAGCCAAATATCATAACCATGCGCAAGACAAAGAAATTAACTGCCAACATTTATCCTACACAAAATTATACTTACAAAAATGTATAATCATTCAGGTCAAATTGCATAAACTCACAGTTTGGATATAAGAGACGTACGATTTCGGAAATTATAAAACTTAGTAAGTAGACAAGAAGGATTGTGATAACAATGTACAGTTCGGGTTTTGTGATTTTAACCCCGTTATTTCTGCAACAATCAATTTAATCGAACCGAAATATCCTGAATTCTGACAGAATTTCATTTTGCCTTCTGCGTTATCAGTAGAGCACTAGCGTAGTCGTTGTTGATTTTCTGCCGATTGCCAATACAAGGTTATAGCTTCTAAATTGGTATCGATTTGTTTCTTCGAAACCTCGTCCTTGCTACGATTGAAAATTGGTTAGCAGATAATCGCATAATTCTAAGTATCATGCAAAATATTACATGTATTTTTTTTTATGAGACATGGCTATTCAAAAGCGCCCGCAACGTTCTACCATGGCTACAATCTTCCACGATTCTACACTTAATGACATATTCATGAAATATTAATGAAAGCACGTCTTTCAGTAAGAGATCAACACTACAATGTTTACCTAGGTAATTCAAAACTGACATTTTTTTCACGATGTGACGAAAATAGGCGAAACGATTTTGAACTTTACATGTATAGGCCTATCAACAACAGTCTATCGAATTCACCCTATAGCGTTCTAGCATTGTTCTAAACAACGCTAGAATGTTAGCTTCTTCTTTCATGAAAAATTGTAGAGCTCATGGCGAGCATTCTGTTTCAAAAAACAAACTGTAGGAATAATGATAAAAAGGTTTTAGCTAATACGGTGATAATATACCCATCGTTTGTGTTATTTAATTACACTTATTATTCCCAAGTAATAAATTAATGGCATGATTTATTGCACATCAGCCGTATACCTTTTTGTCATCAACTAACCATTCGTATATCAGATCCGGGGCAAAATTACAAACCAATTGCAATGGCAAAATGACATGTACAACTTAATGAAATGGGTGATTTCCGAACGCTTTTTCTAAAGGCACATACTTATATAATTACACACCGGACCTATCATTATTTTACACAATGACGACAACATGGGACTGAGTATGGACAACACATAAGACAAAGACTCAGAGTTTTCCAATCCTATCAAATAAACACAGCGATTGTATTTGCCCCTCGGATCCAACTGTAACGAGAATGATGAGCTGTGACTATAGCCCTCGCTAACTTACCGTTCATGTAGTTTCGGTGGTTGCCATTGTTGTTGTTGTTTGGTGGGACGTTGCTGCCTACCACCACCGTACCGTCCGCTGCCCCACCGCACCCGCTCCGTTCCAGCATCTCGTGGTCAGCCTTGCAGAACAGACCGTCTTCCCGTAGCGCAAACTCATCCCCAGGGATCAGCTGGCGGCTGCAGGCCACGCAACGAAAGCACTCGATGTGATAGATTTTGTTCCTCGCCCGCATGACAAAGTCGTTCTTGTCGAAGCCCTGGCCGCACTTGGCACATTTGGTTCCGAACAACCTGTGTATTAATATTATAAACAAAATGGCTGATTACATGTAAAGATCACACGCTTTAAACTTCTGTTTTACATCCTGGAAATCACAAGAATGTAAACCAAGCATGTTAATGGATGTTCTTTTATAAGACAATGATTATAATGTTAAAATCAATCCATGCTTTGGAAAATTGCATGTACTGTAGTTAAATTGTATGAAATTAAGCCTTTACTCCTCCCAAACTAAACAACCAAGTTATGCAGGGCGATCACCTCTTCTTAACAAGGCACGGTCTGTCTTTCCAAAAATGAAGTCCTATTTTAGAGCAAGTGAAAGTGGAATGAAAGTTCACATCTCGACAAATCCAAATAGATTCAATTTCACAGCCTGTATGCGGAGTCAGAGAGTTAACCCCGCGGTGCATACTAAGGACCCCTTTTCATGGTGTACAAAATATAATATATAGTGGACACAAATGCTTGGCAACGATTCCATGCCTTTACATAATGCGTAGGTGGCTGCCACAATCTTATTCACTGATACATGTATTGCAAAATGGATTTCATCGCCTTGAAAACACAAAGAATATCGGATAAAGGCCTCCAAACAAATCAAAACTACACGTGTTTTTAACACTGTTTGACACTTGGTTCTTTAAAAGAGTGTTTTCTTAACTTTGTGACATATTTTGTGTTCTTGAAAAACAGAGTAAAGAGGACAAAGATATGAAATTTAAGAGGGCAATGTAAAACACCAAATCCTCGACGATTCCGTATAACTTTTCATGTATAACTTTTCAATTCATAGGAATTGGGCGTGAAACTTCGAGCTCTCAGTGTTGGTGCCGTAAACAAATACAAAACTGACACAGTTTAAAGACGCAATGTCGATGTCTTGCCCCTATAACATACATCGAAGCATGTCCCAATTTCAACGCATCGTTCATAATTCGAAGCATGCTGAAGAGGGCTCGCTCATGTAATAGAATATCGTGGGGGATTGCGAGCGTTGGATGGATTGCTAATTAATCGTAGGGATAACTCGTCACGTCCCAGGCGCGAAGTGGCTCAGTAAGTCTTTTTTTCACGTATTACAGCCGTACCCCCCATTTCATCCACCAGACTGCTACGCTTCGACAGATGTGATTAACATGCTCGGGCGATGGAATAATGTCCTTGTTTCTTCCATCTACATGCTTCGTTTGGGCCTGGCCTTTACTTGAGCGCAGCGCGTGGCCAGGCCTTCAGTATGAGCGCACCTTAAGTTTAGTATGAGGGTAAGTCAGCCCGAATTCTCTTAACAGTAATCGTCAAAAAATAACGTAAAATACATACTTAAATCGCACTTTGTGCAATTTTTATATCAAAATTCAGTACAGAAAAAAACGGATCTCGATTATGCGGCTTTTACAATATTGTCCCCATTAATTTATTAGTTGAGTGTTCCATCTAGCATCACGGGATGGACATCTAACCACTTCGCTTTTTTTCTGGACCTAAATACCACAGGTTATAGAAAACCTAATTTTTGGGTTTTAGAAATTTAGACAAACATGGCCTACGAGAACAAAACGCAACAAAATGAATTTGCAGTTTTGAATTTTGAATGGGTCATTATAAGTGATAGCCCCGCCTTACTTCTGTGACAATTTACATGAAACCAATGCACGCTATGGGATCAACATTGTTCATCATTTACGACATCGAATATACCAGTGAAAGCTCGCCTTTTGATCAAAAACAAAAGAAAATCAGTACTGCAGGTTTAAACAAGCTGATTTCACAGGCGTTGGTAGACTTTACGAGACTTATCATTGCTGACATCTCGGCTGAATGGAATTTGTTAGTTTGACGATGTTTTCCTTAGTTGGCAGCTCAACATATCGATCAGTCAACACCGCACTTCAAAGACACAGTACCCAGCACACAATTTAATCAACGAGTAAATGTGACGGAACCCCTCTAATAAAAATGTCTAAATATTTATGAACGAGACACAAATACATCTCACATAGTGTGTCTTCATTCATGACAAATTGCCGGAAATATATTGAATTCGTCAGTGCAATTGGCAAAGAGAAATCGGAAAAGAGTAATGTTGACATTTTCAAAATTCTGTTTAGAAAACCACAGTACAGATAATTATTTTTCTTGGATGTGACACATTTACGGCAGAGTATCCACTGTCCCAAAATGAAGGCAGTATCAAAACAAAATCACTTTTCTGAAATCATGAGCAGTTTTATGGCATTTTTACATTTTCCGCTGTAAAAATAAATAATAAAATTCACGGTTGTGTTGAAGGTGAATTCAGCGCAAGATGAGTCTGTACTGTTTGATGCAGCAGCGTTGCTTCAATACGAAAGGTGATACTTTTTTTCAAACAGTTCAAGGATATAGAAGGCCCACAAAAATGATGAGTGTTTGCGGCTAGTCAGGGCAAAGAGAGAAAATACAATAGAGGCAAGCAAGCACGACCACGTTTAGCACGAACTTCTTGTACCGAGCCAATTCCCTAATTCAAGCCCATTGTTAATGAAAGTCATTGTTGGACCAAACACAGACCTGGTGGTATTCCCGTACAAGATACGGGTGTGAGCCTGTATCTATACATGCACATGTACATGTACAATATATGTAAATGTACATGTACATGGGCTGTACCCATACACGACCACGAACTGTTGATTCCTTTTGCGATCGGGCCCTACTCTAGTACCACGGTGACTGTCTGGTTATGGAACTAAACTACACTCGAGACATGGTACGTAACTTGTGCACAAGCATATCACATTCACACACCGTCAGTAATGTAAAAGGCAAGTTGAGTTATTAAAAAGAGATATTTTATAACGAGGTCCAATTCAACATGTAATGTTCCTATACGGCAAGATTGAATAATTAACACTCCGAACTAACCAAAAAATCAATTCTCTTCAGATTTAACAAAAAAAGCAAGTGTCAGTCCTGATTTTTGTTTTGCAAACAAACATAGGTCGAAGCTGCATTAAAAAAACCTTAAAATTTAGCACAAATAAAGCAGCTGTACATTTCCCTGCGGTCTGTGCATTATAAACAACTACCAAAGTGAACTTGTTTTAATGAAAGAGAATGGCTTTGGGTTTCCAGATTCTTAAATTGGTACTTCCTCATAAAATCGCAATAAAATCTTTTGAAGGGGACACACTGGTCGGCTATTGTGACGATATCCATGTATGCCGGTTGCACAATTAAAGTTTTATTGCAAATTCCTCAGTTCGCCCGTGGTGTAGGCGAACTGTGGTTTGGGAGACCTATTCAGAACACGGGATTCTAATTGACTTGGTGTGCAAGACTCCCAACAAAAAACGGAACTACATGTACATCAGCCGTCCTGTATGCCGGCAATATATCCGTATTCAAAGTGTTAATAGAACACTTCATATACCTTTAAAGTTCAACTCTTAACATGCATGAGTACTTCTTCCACTAAAGTTACGGTACTCAATGCCTCAAGTTGATTCTGCTAAGCGTGTCATGTCATGCGAATTTGCTTGAAAATAACAATATGTCTAACCCTAACGTCCACGTTGGACGATGACAGAGAAAAATTAGACTTTAAATCGTCACCACACCAACAATTCCCTTAGATGTTTCTGAATGGCAAAATTATAATCGGTAACGTATCATTTTAAAAAAAGCCTTCGGATATTTTGTAATTCATTTCTTAATTGAGATAAATAAATTAGTCATCGGAATAGGAGGCGAGGAAATGTTTTCCACCCGCACATTTGGCAAGAAAGGATAATAAACACATTTATGATTACGGACAAATTATATACCTATACTAGGGGAATAAAAGCGCAGTGGTAGACCGACTGAGACCTAAATTAGCTTTGCTCCTGAAATTCTACATAGAACAACTTTCTATCAAACCCTGACAATTTCCTCCAGAGAACTCCTACTGCACGAGGAACTGGGTTTCCTTTTAGCACAATCAGACAGCAGTGCCTTGTGGACAATACAAATGAAAGTAATTTAATTTGGCTTCTATAGTAAAAGAACAAAATTTGTTCACGGATATGACGTCTTCACCCACAAAACGTTACTTCTTTAGTTAATGCATCTTAGAGTGCAGATATTTCCTCTGCTTGAGAAAAGCTCCATAATCATCCCCACCGTTTTCACAAACGCCCGCAGTCAGAGCCGTATGTATGGTACACAAGCGCCAAGCTTTATTTGCAAAACACAGACCAGTTAATTGCATGGCCAACAAATTGTCAATTGGCCCAACGGCTGAATAGAGACACACAAAATTAGAAGACAATGGAGAACAAGGGAGTCACTTGGGATTAGGGACCATCTTAAAAAAAAAAGAAGAAGAAGAAGAAGAAGGGTTTTGCAAGCGTAAAACACGTTGAGGCGGCTGATGAAAAGCGAATAGCTTGGTCTGCCCAGTGAGCTGAAGTTAGCGTCTGGAAAATCACGAGGCATTGTTGCGTGTACAGTGTTTATTAGCTGGCTTTCAAAATATTTATAATCAAGTCAATTGAGCATGCGTAACAAACCACAACAAGTAATAAGCAACGCCAAAGATCCACCTCTGCTCCTATTATTACGTGCCTCATATTTTTTTTCAGGTTTGGTGAACCAGCAGTGACACCAAAAGAAATCTAGAAGAATCTAAAAGTACGCAAAAGAGCAAGTGTCTAAACAACTATGATGTCTTAAATATTTTGTAGCTATGACAGATTCAGAGTGGGTTCACTTTTTTTAACAGAATGCATCCCCCAAAATTATGGAAACCGGCGCAACACCAAGTTCTACAATTTGGCCTCCTATAAACGAGAGACAACGTCAGACAAATGCAGTCAAAGATTATTGTAAGCAGTGAATCTCTGTAGCACTGGTTCAATGCGGGATTTTGCGAATGCACCAAGTACTTGTATCTCTTTACTTTAGTGGGCTGTGTGTGGCTTTGAGTCTGAGCATTCAAGAATACAACGGATGAGCCAATATAAATTGTTACGGAATGTTTTTCGAAGAACTTACGTTAATATGAACCAAAAATTGTCTTTTCCAAAAAAAAATCACTCTATTTTGTTCACGCACGTATGGAGAGGAACTTCTTCATCAATCATTTCTCCTAAGGCCCGATGCTCAACGCAAAAGAAAAGCCAGTGTGAAAACTTTCTCATTAGACGAAATCTGACACTTACGACAACTGGTAAGTTATAAATAAAAAAAAGAGGATGTGCATGTATAACGTTTACTTTATTTAACTTTGACAAAAAGACGATACAAGTTAATCGCATATTTAAATTGGTGCTTCGACAACTTTTATAAGGAGATTTTTTTTTTTTAGAGTTAGTGAGTTTAATATAAGCAGCCTTAGACAAGTTTGCTAGCTGAAATCTGAAGCCCTACTCGCTGAGCAGTTGTACAGAAAATGAAGTACGAAAAGTTCGTGTAATAGCATTAACTTGAAAATGATGCGGTTTTGGTCCTTACGCCAATTGTCGAGAGGTGTTTTGTGGGGAAATGAGGTAAGCACACCCAGTGAACTCATATAGTCTTACCTGAGGTAGTCCCGCTTGCAGTAAGGTTTCCCGTCCCGTACAAAACACGTACAAGTCTCGTCCAGATAAGCATCGCAATCGCCACACTTGAGGCAAGCGGCGTGCCATTCCAAGTCGGGGGCAACCCGGAGTATATACTGGTCCTGAATCTGTCCCCCGCACCCTACACAACACGAGACCCGCCGCTTCTCCGGGGGTTGATCGGCCGGGTAGACGGACAGGGTGATTGCCGACATGATCATTCAAGAAGCCTGGGTCCTCTCCCCCAAAATGAAGCTGCACCTATTTTCCGGGAAGGGTGTAGGCTCCCTCCTGAAGTGCTTAGTAACAGTTCTGTGGTGGCAAAGTCCAGTCCAGTACTAAAGTTGCTTGACACTTTGCAGTATTATATCCGAGTTTACAAAGTCATACCACTAGTTGAAAGACGACAGTAGACGACTGCTCTCAGTACAAAACACACACTCTCTGTACAAAATGAGTTCAGCATTACACCTGCAACAGTGTCAGTTCTGTATTTGACGAGAGAAAAAAAGAAAAAGCCTGTAATAACTTGTGCCTGATGTGGAAAAAATGACAGCGATAATTAGTGGCTCCTGTATACCACTACCGAGAAAAAGAAGGTGAAGATCGGAGTAAATCAGCACTGTGTCCCGTAAAAAAAAATCAGATCATAACCGGCCTTACTTCGACTTGGAAATGAACTGCCAAACTTCCATACTTTATGAGAATACGGCAGTGAAGTGATTGAATCGAATGAGGTGGGATCGCGGTGTTATGGGTTGAAGGTAGGAGCCGGCACCAAATATCGCTGTCAACCTTGTGGACTGTTTTATGTGCGCTCCGGATGGGTGGTCTCTATAGCTGTTGTATTGTTGCCAGTGTTCAGTAAGCGTACAGTACGTACCCGTGCGATTAGACCTCATTCAAGTGAAGGACAACGATACAACGCACACACAGGGCTTCGAAACGTCCACCGGTGAGAACTGAGAAGGCGCTGATTGGCCAACCGTATTAATGAATCCACCACGTGATCGGGCTTTTTGGGAAACAAAGGCTGCCCATTGGTGGTTTGTTTGCGTTGGGATGAGCGACAGAAGACACTGCTGCGCACCGCGTGCTTGGTAGCTCAGCGATGACTCAGGGAGACTGTGCACCGAAAGTCAGTACCTTGCCGTCTGTACCCCGATGAATCTGACCGTATCGCAGTGGGTGATCACTGACGGAAGTGAAGCCCCGCTGCGCGGTACACTCCGCGTCGTGCTGCTTCGCTCGTGTCCATCAGAAACCCCGGTCTTCAGAACACCCACTGTCGTCAATGTCGCATTCAGTCGTCACACTGTACGGGCTTGTCCACGCAAAATGTTCATGAAAAAATGACAGTTTTTCCACTTCACTTTTCGTTAGTATTGAATCAATTAGTGAGAGCTGAATTGGTTCATGTTTTTCCTTTAAATGTCTGCAGTTTCGGTTGTTTATAACAAACGAATAATGTTTGTGTTGATCCATCATCCTGGTTAAAAATGTTGCAAGTGGAAATTGAAAGCACACAAATCATTGTAATCTAATTGATTTGATTTAATTTCAAAGTATACATTTCCAATATACACAGACACATAGGACCGAAGAAATATGATTGCCTATAAGAGTGACATAATAATGTGAAGTTTGTTTTATATGTCAACGATTTATGCCACATTTGAAAGTAGCACAACTTGTTTGTCTTATTTTGGAAACCTCTTACTCTTTTTTTGTAAAGTGTTTACTTGGCCATTGTGAATATTATGTAAAAGTACCACATGTATGCATGCACCATCAAAGTTCGATTCCAAAAATCAATCTTCTGTTGAAATTTTAGCCGAAAATATTAAAAAGCGCACCATAAATAACACCGTTTTGACGCAAGGACCCACTGTCTTGTCACCAGTACGCGAGGCAATACGTTCATAAGAAGACAGCTGGGATACATAACAAAAACTGATTATAACCCTAACGTATTGTCTCTCCTCGGGGTGATGCTCCACCTCATGTCAGTTCCGCTAGTTGCAGGATTGATGGAGTTTCTCCTAGTCCCCACCATGCACGAAACAAGAAATCCTGGTCATAAGACTAGGCCCACGATCAGATCATTATCTGAACATTTTCATTTATCGAGGCAATATCAGCCCCGCTTGTCACCCTTGTAAAAGAAACGGATAGGACTTATCATCTTGTGATATCGCTGTGTCAATGTTTCTACGGACCTTGTTGACTTGGCTGGTTCCTATGCCATACCTGCCGTGATGGTCGGCTGATAAGCACCCGCGTTCGGCTCAACGCCTGCTCTTTGTTTGCGTTTGATTATTATTTTGTCGTGTTTTCCCCGCTTGTGATTACACAGACTGATATCTCCCTCTCAAGTTTTGCCAAGAATTGTAGCTAAATACACAGAGTTTGTACACAGGGCCCTTGCCTCGGCACTTTGCAGGCTTGAATTTACAAGAGTGGTTACAAGAACTCTCAATAAATATCAATTTGGAACAATGTTGATATTTTTGAAGACTACCGTAACAGGTCCGGTTATTGTATAAGTTGGATTACCAAAATACGGATTACGACACCTTGTTCTCCAAGATCTGTGAACTATACTTAATATACACTGCAAATGAAGGCTGCAGTGCCATGTGGTGCATTTGCAACTGTGCAGTCAAGTCGTACGTGTATTATGTTCTTTCCATGAGCAGCAGAGCATCCTTGCTTTGTGGTCATACACTAGCCCGCCCTCACTCTGTGGCTCACGATTATTTTTGAAGGAAGCTCACTCTCCAAAAACTTTTCCCCCCACGTAACCTTCAGTTAATAATGTAGTTAATATCCATATATTTTTGTTTGTTTGTGATTTTGAAAATAACAAACAAATCAAACACATAAAAGGAAGCCAATTAAAAAAAACAATCAAAGATAGGAGGGAAATGAACAAAATCTCTTGTTATATCATTGTTTTGTACTTGTATGAAATAAGCCGATTCCTCCTTCAACCGATAAACCGAATACAGCCATCAAGCCTTACTGAACCCGTTTTCAATTGAACAAAAACAGACCAAGTCAGCGGATAAATGCATGACTCCTACCCCCGGCCATTGGCCACTGCCATCGATCTTACACTCAGATATTAAAACCCAAACAAAGGGACAAAAGCACGGACTGCAATAAAGACCGGGAATATGGCCCCTTGTTATTGACAATAATTGCTGCCTGTTGTTTCTAGCGTTTAGCGTGGAGGAAAAAAGACGGACGAAATGAAAGTGTTTCCAACCGGTTCTCTTCACAATGTCCCCCACCCTTACAGGGGTTAATTTTCTGGGTCTGATGTGGCTCACAAGACCCCCTGGTTATTTGCAAATTCGGTTTGTACACGGGTTCATCTGTGGCCTTTATTGAATGAATGTAGACTCATTACAAGTTATATGAGGTCAACGGCGGACAGTGTCGAAGAGGGGATTCAGGCGCAGGCGCACAGTGAATTACTTTGCATATTTCTGTTTTCCTTGTTAACTTTTTTCTATATCTTTGTTTTCGAGGATTGTAAATCCTTAACGGGGCTCAGATTTGTGTCACTATAAAGGATGTAGGCGGTTTAAATATTATAAAATTCTGCGCGAGTTTATTACGTGCTTTAGGAAAATTGAATAATGGTGAAATATTTTGAGCTTGAGAATTTTTGGGGAAATTCGCTCATCAGGTAATATAACAAAACTGTAGATATTCGTGCATGGTCTTTTCTTGTATTATTTGATTCCTATTTGTTTGGGCAGACACCAGGAACTGGGCCAGAAGGCATTTTCAGTATTGACCTAAACGACACTCTATTCTACGATATTGTTTAGAATGAAGTTAACTAAACAATGGCACATAAATTTGACATATGTAAGAATATAGGCGCATTTTTGACAATGCCGTGATCAGATGAGTGGGATGACAAATCAAAGACATGCCATGGTTTTTCTGACAAAAAGAAGAAATGAAGCAAGCAGCAGAGGCCAACTAGTGCCACTTGACCCTTCTGTCACTGAAACAGGCGGGAAAAGACCAGACGGTGTACAAGAACCCGGGGCACACCCCACAGCAGACCAGAGGACAAGAGCAGCCATTTCCCGTGCCGCAGACCTCCCGATTCACCCACAGGATACTTTGTCATTGTTGAACGAGTGGTAATCAGCAGTGGTCGCAGCCGTTGTCTGTTAGTGTGAGTGTGGGACGGGGATAATAATAAACAGCCACAGGGCGGGTATTATGCGAGCTTCGTGGAATACTGTACAACTCTTTTTCCTTCTGAAAATTAAAATCCGCGGCTTTTGTGCTGGGAGACCCGCGGCTTCAGTGAGCCATGTCATCTAGCTGTTTCATCAGCCCCTCAATTTTTTGATTCGCTTTGGACAGTGTTCACGATCAGGTTTGGGCCGGGCCGGGACAAAGAGCTAATATGCGGAGAAAACAAAACCCTTCCACCCGCAGATATAGATGAGTGATTGGAATGGGTGAATACTGTTGGTGGGGGGGTTGATGGTATAGGGGTATTTAAAGATACCAGAGAATTAATTCAATGCCCTATTAACCTTTAGTTTCACCCTTTGACCAAGGGCGGATCCAGAACACAATTTTTTTGGGGGGCCCAAAAAAATGTTGGTTCCCCCCAAAAAAATGGCCAAATTTTTTTGGGATTCTAGATGCTCTGTGGTGCGATCTGAGGCAATTTCTGACCACTTTAACCAATGGGTTTTTTTGAGGAAAAGATGGTGGTGTACTCATTGCCTGCCTTTATTGCGATGTCACATAAAAAAAAAAAAAATTGGTTTCGTTTTTTGGGGGGGGGGGGCCAAGGCCCCCTTTGGCCCCCCCCCCTGGATCCGCCCTTGCCTTTGACACGTATTATGCAATTGTGTACAGCAAATGTCCGTATTTTCTATGTCTGAGAACTCCATCGTTTTCAGACCATGAACGAAGGAATCAAAATGGAATTAGCAATACGAGCGAATTACAATGCAGAGCGCCACCAAGCGTTTGTCTGTAGAAAATGCCACTTTTTTAACTTCGCATTCGACATTTTGCATATCATTGTTCACAGCTGGCCTTCGTCGTTTACGTCTAGCAACATGTATCCAGACACCTTGTATATAAACCTCTCGATATTACACAAACAATCCAACTTGGTCCAAATCACGAGTGATAACAAGTGACAACCGTAGGCAGTGCCGAGTTGTTGCGTAAAATGAATACAGTTTAGCGTGCTCCTCCATTTGGTAAAGCCTTTTACAGCGTATACTTCATGTTGAGGCCCTCTACTGTATTTATGTGCTAATTGGTGTAAGCTAAGTAAAAAAAACTATAATGTGCACTGAGCACAAAACGTAAAGATCTTTGGCATGTGCATACACATTAAGTGAATCCTTGACATGAACACTTTTTGATACAGTATCATTCGCTATACAGCTTTTGTCAAATATTAAGAGGCTGTGATGTGTGTTTCAGCATTTCGAACGTTTGAAAGCAGTAAAATTGACACCATGTTTAGATACAATGACAACTTGACTAAATTGGTGACTATAGTTTGCAGCTGAGTGTTGTGGATATGACCAGTCAGTTTCTGTTCTAACCTCATTGGCCTTTAAGATAAGTTTGCTAATGTACGGTGGTTTAGCTATAATATACAGGGTGTATGGGGGGGGGGGAGGTAATCCAAATAATGGGTTAATATGTAAACGTTATGAACTTAAATGATGTCTTACAGGGTAGGTCATTAGCTTTTCAACGATATCTCAAGTTTGCATTTTTCAGTTCACAGATGACCGAGCACCATTCATTGCAAAACAAAGGCCAACAAACCCCTGTTTCCAAGTGTTGAGTTAAGTTTTCGGATGAATGCGATGTCGTTGAGGACAGTGCGATAAAAGGGTATGTTACAGATGCTATGTTTGAAAGACGT